CTAGGTGTGCGATTGTCAGCAAGCCTTCATTTCCTTCCAACATGATATGCCGCATGTCATTTTCAGACGCTCAACTCGTCAAATCCCTTTTCGGGTTCCACTCCAGGGCTTGTATGGCTCATAATGTCTTCCAAAAGTATATCCTATCTATCTAATTTCCATCTATATATTTGTTGGGTAATAGGTTCTTGAGAGGAACACTGTTTGCCAGAGTTCCTTGTTGCTTATCCATTCCAGATGGTCGTCTGATCTTCGAAAACGAGAGAAGACGGTTGTTGGTGGTAGTCTGCATTGGTCTGTTGCAAATGATTTTAGTGACATGAGAGCCAATTCTGTGAATCATACAGATTCTTTATTTTCCCATCCTACATTTGACATCCTCATCCGTACTGCCTAGATAAGTGAAAGATTTTGCCCGCTGATATCGACTGGTGATTGTTGTCATTGGATCGGGTACTTCCATCACCTTTGTCTTCCCTATGTTCATATGCAGTCCTGTTTTCACTGCCTCTTCTGCCAGCTTGGATGTTTTTGCTTGTAAATCTTCGAGTGTCTGAGATACGAAACATAAATCATCTGAGAAATCCATATCTAGGGTCTATTTATGCATCCACCACATACCCATCTCAATTCCCACAGTTTGTCACATCATCCAGTTCACCATAATCAGGAATTTCATCGGAGCTAGTAAACAGCCTTGTCTTACACTCTTGTCTTTACTTCATACACTTCATTGAGCTTTTGATTGTGAATGAAGTTTATAAGTGTTTGTGGTGCTGCAGTCCTTAGTCCTGAGGCAGTTTGCAAATTACTTCACGGTCGCCGCTGTGGAAGGCCTCTTCAAAGTCGATGAATTTGAGGTAAAGAGATGACTACCATCTCAGGTTTTATTCGATAATGATACGTATTATCGTAATATGATTTGCGCATTATTTCTTTTGCCTGAATCTAGCTTGCCCGGGAGGTGTTTTGTAAACAATGCACCTTTTAGTGTCTCCATAATGATACGACTTAGTATTCTGCTTGGTGTGGACTCGACCATGATTCCGCACAAGTGTATATACCTTTCCTTCCTTCTACTGGCGTCAGCATGCCGCTGAGATCTCTGGGTTCGTTTTCAGTGCTTCTAGGTGTCTTGTCTAATCGTGATACCTTCCTGGCTTTGAGTAACTTTATGAACTTTAAGACTTTTGGCTTTTTCTCTGAGGGCTAGTATACACTGATCGTTCTGTGTCTACTGGTGGCATTTCCGGACGTGTTATTGGTAATGGTCGATTATGAGCGCTTCGAAGTAAATAGCCTGGCATATTGTAAGATGCCTTTTATCTGTGGTGTTTTCCGCTTTAGTTGCCAATATATGCTAAAATTATCTTGTATCTATCCTAGCACTCTTCTTCACTCCTTTGTTAAGTGCTTTGTAGATTGTACTCAGCTTTTCTTTCTTTTTTCATCTCTGCACTGGTTCATCTTGTGCTTCACCACTCTTCTGTTCTGCATCACCTTCTATGTGTTTGTTGAGAGACATTTTTTGTCTTGCCTCTTCTTCCTCTCTAATACTATACAAGTTTCCTTCAAATTCACTTTTGGAGAGTTCCAGTGTTCTTTCTCGAAGATTTCTTCGGTAATGCTGTTTAATGTCATCAGCATTTTGCTGATAACCTCAGTGACGGTGTCCTGTGTAGTTTCGTTCTTCAGTGTCTCGGTGATGATCTTGAATTGTGGTCTATCTGCAGCTTTGAAAGTTTTCAACTTCGTCTTGGAGGTTCCTTGTACTAGACAATGATCGTAGTTTGCATTCACTCCGCTTGCCGATTTTGTTTCCAGCAGGCTGAGTCTTCACTTCCTTCAGATTGGAATAAAGTATATGTGCTTTTTCACGTGTCTGTCTAGTGGAACCAGTGTTGTTTTGTTCATATACTTGTGCTTTTACACACTAAAGTCACAGAGGTTTGAAAAGAATCCTGTGTTCTCGCTCATTTCATTGAGTGCCTCTCCACCTATAGTAAGTTCTTCACCTCTCTTGTCTGCTTCCAGTCTGGTATTCATATCATCCATTAGGATTTTGATGTCCCCATCCTGTTGGGGTCTTGTCCATTACGGTTTAAAGTTGTCAGCAGAATTCTCCCTTCCTCTTTTGGTTTGAGCTGTTTGAAGCAATGTGCGTAGCATTGGGAAATTGTAACTTTTCTTCCTTTCGAGTTGAATTCTACTATCATAATCCTGTAGAGATTGGTTCTAGTTATGTAACGGCTTTCGATGGCGTTGATAAGATCATAATGCCCACTTCCTTAGTGTGCCTGTCGTTTTCATCTGGGAAGCTGGAGTAGGTTATTGATTATCCAGTTAACAATCTGAACATAAATGTGGACATCGCAATCCCCATACTTATTTTGGCTTTTTCTGAAGGAAAACACATCGGCTGACTGACTTCCCGAAGGTTTTCACCAGCCGGTATCATTTAATCTCTCCGATTCCAGAGAAGAATGCGTATTTTTTAAGAAATTTTCTATGCTTGGAAGTTTCTATAGAGACTGAGTTAACTTCCTGGGGTAGGGTCGCTCAAAGTTTCCTCCTTTTCCATCTTAGTCTCAGCTAGTAAACTAGGCGAGGTTATCAGCAACATAATGAACTAACTGTTTCAACACAACTCGAAAAAAATCACAATTAGTTTGATTCTTGTTTTACAGTCAGAAAAAATTTAAGGTGATTTACACAAAACTAGCATTCATTTTCCAGTGGAAAGCAGTAACACAAAACGTTCAGGAATGCTTGTAGAGAATAGCTCACTAAACAGGTAACTATAATCATTAAGTAAAATATTGTCCTCATGTAGGAAGGATTCAAATTGAATACTATCATGCATTTTCTCGATCGAATTACTATTTCTTTTAGATTTAAGTAGGCAGTGAAATCCTGAAAGGTTCTTAGTAAATGTGTGAGTCTACAGTCAGGAATTCACTAGGAACCTTGTTGTTTCATGCATTTTATTTTGTGTTACATACGTATGCAAATGCATTAACGACTTCATTTGTGTCGAATACTGTAAAAATAATGTACTGACAACCAGCACGGTTTTTAGCAGGCTTAAAGTCTGTAATACATACAATTTTATTGAAAATAGACCTTTAACAGTGTAATTAACTATATTCGAAATCTATGTAGTATGCTGTAATATTTAATCGCTAATTTCTTTCTTTCCAACCTCTACATATACCTGATAGTTATGATCAGTTTCTTTATAGAGAATCGTATTTCTACATTCATATGCTATTCCACCTATGGGTATGCTGAATAAAAACAATTGTCAGTGAATGTTATACAGGTTTCATCCATATATATGTATCCATGGCGCGAAGAATTTATGAAAATAGGATAAGTGTGTGGAATATCATTTCGTTTAGAAAAAAGAAAGCAACTGTTATCTTGATTGTACAGTAAAGTAGATTATGACTAATTCTTTCTGAAATCGAAGTGAAATATCTGTTCATTTATTCAAACAACTGGTCAGACCTTAATTAAATACACTCAGTAAATCTTAATATACACAGGTCAGGTTAATTCTTCAAATTCCATAAATGTATAAACCAATTATTTAGATAAATGTGATACACTTTCGTATTAAGGTGACCGAATGGTGAAGATAATGTCGCCAAACAAAAAGTAAATTAAAAGTTTATGTGTTGTTGTTTTTTTCATCAATCCTACACTTTCTCATTTCAGCGAATGTAGCTGGGTATTCATCCGCCGTATCTCTTTCCAACTATAGATTAAAAGACACTTGATTGATTGATTTTATTTTTTATATTCCTATTGACTGTACATTTAGCGTGTGTTTGATCTGTAATCAGAGCTAAGGTGATTCTTTTCGGCCATCTGATCTTCAGTATAGAGCGAAGGTCTGCAACAGGCTGTTGGAAATATTCTTGGTGACCCGCCACGTTTCTGATCAGTATAGAAGAACTGACTTGACGTTTATATTGAAAATCCGAATTTTGTTGTTGGTGTTGAGGAGTGACGAAGATTTCCAGATTGGTTTCAGGTTGATGAATGTGTTTCTCGCCTTCCCGATTCTCGATTTGACATCCTCGTCCGTTCCTCCTGTAGTTGAGACAATGCTCCGTAGATAAGTGAATGAAGTAACCTCTTTCAAATCCCTCCCGTTGATGGTGATTGGCGCTGGATGTTGCTGCTGTTGTTGTTGTTGTTGGTTGGTTATTTTCATATCCTCCGTCTTGTCTATGTTCACCTGGAGTCCTGTCTTCTCTGGCTGCTTCTTCGACCAGTTTGTCAGTTTTCGCTTGTAAGTCTTCGATTTTGTGTGACATCAAACATAAATCATCCACGCGCGAAATCCAGGTCTTCTAGGTTCTTCACGTCGGTTCAGGATATCCCTGTCTCCTCGTTTCCCACTATCTGACGCATAATCCAGTCCACCACAATTAGGAATATCATTGGTGATAATAAGCACCCTTGTCTGACTCCTGTGTTTACTCCAAACGCCTCGCTGAGTTTTCCGTTGTGGATCACTTGAGATGTGCCGTTGTCGTACAGCTGTTGAATAAGGTTGATGAATATTTGCGGTACGTCGTAGTACTCGAGTAGTTTCCAAATGAACTACGGTACCACCTTATAAATGGTCCAAATTTCATTCTACCTACCATAATACATTTTCTAATATGATTTTACTCTTACCTTCATAGCCTATCGTATGATATTACTTATCGATTTTAGCTGTATAGTCTAAGAAGGTAGTTGTTCTGAATACGGAAAATGTGTTGCTTGAAGTTCTGTCAGTGTATATTTCTTTTTTTCGCTTGTTTATCTAAATTTTTAATTAGAAATAATTACCGCATAAATAGACAGTTAAATCTGTGTACAGTAACTGTATTGCCATCTTCACAGTAAAAAATATTTCACTTGTATTATCTGTCGATCCCAATTTTCTCAACGATCAGTTAATTGCTAAACTTTTTTTTCTATTTATTTCCTAAACACCACAGATTTAGAATCTGGTGGACTGAAAAATAATCGTAGCAAGATAGCAACAGCTGTCGATCAAATCAAGTGTAACAGCTCCGGTGATCTAACAGTTCAACTCGATGTCAATGCTATACAAGCCGATGGCAGTCTTCGATCAGTTCATCATATTACCATTCGTATACATGATCTCAATGATAATGGACCAAAATTTGAGCAAATCAGATGGCATAAAAGATTAAAAGAAGCTCTTTATCGAGCTGGTAGAAAAATTGACCTACCCAGAGCTAGAGATATTGACTTACTCGCTGAACATAGACGAATGAATTATCGACTTGACCCATTACATGAAGAAGGACATAATTCAATTAATCCAGCTAAAAGTCCATTTAAACTAGAAATAAGCAATCTGGGTCAACCTCGTTTAGTACTAACTGAAGATTTAGACGCTGAAGTGGAAACCAGACACAGATTTGTTCTGGTAGCTTATAGTCCAAATCCTGTCGTGTCTAGAAACACGTTAAACAACCCAATTATACCAAAAGAATCTTATTTGGAAATAGATATTGAAGTCACAGATATGAATGATAATGAACCCAGATTCTCATCCCCTGTATACAACGTCAGTGTAGCAGAAAATGCATCAGTTGGATCTGTGATATTTGAAGTAAGTCCCAAATGAACATTTTTTTGAAATCTGAAGTCAATAATTCTAGATTCAGTTTTTATTCGATTACCTTTCTATTTTTACTCCTATGAGAGACCGACATTACTAAGTATAAAACTTGGGCACTGTGGTAGAGTATAACTCCATTATATATAAGATTTTATTTTGATAATTCACAGTGTTTTGCACTAATATTAACTGATGACGTATTGAGCACAAATTATTGCTCATAATCATATCAAGTCACTCACACAACTTTCAACCTCACTAAGTTCATATTTTTAAATAGAACGTGAATCTGAAGCTACTATGAAATATTAGAAAATATTTGTAGCTCGCGATATGGATAGAAGAAACTTAGTGTTCTCTGATATTTGATGGTAGGCACTTCACCACACTTGGGGACATCATAGGCACTAACTGCATTATGTACAGTAGCTAAAATAGACTTATTATGTATTAGTCTTTGAATGTTAAACCCCGAAAAGTTCAGTCCTAAGGAAGGAAGTATTCGGAGAACGCCAAATGATTTCTATGACAACTATCTCTACGTGTATCTGCTTTTATGTCGATTACCAAAAGCCCAATTAATCTCACTAAAGTGAACATATAACTTTTACTGCTAGAAAGAAGTGAAACAAAATGAAAATTATGAAAGACTATTGCATCTTGAAAAATAACAAGAGGAATCACTTTGTTCCGATGAATATATCTTGTCATAAGTCAATTACTTTTATGAGTTTATGAATTCCACTTTTCACTTCTCAGTCTGAGTTTTCCTTACACTAGTTTCTAACTACCTTGATAGATAATAAGGGATATACAAGAAGGGCGACAAGTCTTCCTGTGATAATTACAAGGGGATTAGTTTGACCAATGTGGTATCTAAAAATCTAGGCTCAATAATAATGCGTAGACTAAGCGGTGCTTAGGAGGAACAAACACGAGAGGACCAAGCAGGCTTTAGACGAGGAAGAGGGTGTATTGATCATATCTTCGTCCTTCGACAGATTCTGGAACAGGCATACTTACTGGCATCCAACAGTTGTCATATTTCTTGACCTGAAAGCGGCATTCCATTCCGTCGACCGAGAGGTACTATGGCGATGTTGATTTGTGAACGGAATGTCGAGAAAATACATCGCACTGATCAAGGCACTCTACTCGAACTCATGCGGCCATGTGACAGCCTACGGAAAGTTGTCATCTGAAGTGGTGACAACTAGTGGTGTCCCTCAGGGATGCCCATTGTCCCCATTTCTGATTAATTTCATCATAGATGTATTAACGGACGTAACCCTAACTGACTTAGGCGACTCAGGGATTGACTTGTTACCATCAGAAAATAATCTAGTTGACCTGGAATATGTAGATGATATAGCCGTTCTAGGTGAAGACGCTGGTAAAATGCAGAGTCTTCTGAACACCTTAAGCTGCAGTTTTCGAATATTTGGCATGCGATCCACTCCAGCCAAATGTAAGATGATGCTACAGGAATCAGTTGGACTACATTTACTCACTCCTAGCTTAAAGACAGGGAGTGAAGTGGTTGGTGGAGCATGTTGACCACTTCACTTATTTGGGAAGTTGCATCAACCAGTGCCAGTGGGTTGATCGCTGACGTTATCTCAGCACACATACAGAGGGCTAGTTTTGCATATGCTAGTTTACGCTGTCTCTGACTTAGTAGACGTGATATCCGACCGGCTGTGGACCAGAGGGTGTGTGTACTGCTCAGCAGTCCACTCCGTCCTCCTTTATGGCTGTGAGACATGCTGGCCATTGAGAGTGGAAGACACGAAAAGGTTGGTTAACTGTCTTTGATCATAGGTGCCTGTGTTCTATCTCCGGTGTGAAGTGGAATAATAGGATAAGCAATACTGAGGTTAGTCGTCGAGTTCTAGGTAAGGAGGGAAATCAATCGATGAGGCTGTGAAGTTACATCGACGGGCAGTGTTAGTTGACTGACACAGGATGGATCTGGATGGGAAGGAGCCAGTGGTGGTCAAATCAAAACATGGCTTCATTAGTCAATGAAATCCGCAACAGTTAGTTCAAGCCAGCTAGCCAGCCATGTAGGGAGGTATAGAGTTCCTGGTTTCGGTCCTCGGGATGGTAAAAACCAATGGCTGGAGACAATTGGTGATATGGCTCAAAACCGTTCTCGATGGCTCAGATACATCCACTCCTTGTGACTTATAATATCCAATGAAACTATATTGTTCTTCTATATTACTATCGTTTTCGCCTCAGATCTCTGTTTATTATCCCTGTTTTGAATCTCTTTTACTATCTTCTCTTGCTTTGTGTGCTACGTGAAGTGTGGCAACTCGAACTGCTGCACATTTGTGCAAAGTTCTACGCTGAAACCAGTCAGTCAGTAATAAGTTCAGAAAAATCTTCAAAGGTTTGTTTTAAACAATAAAGTGTTACATATATTTTAAGGGTGGGGTTAGGTAATCATTGTCGAATTGATGAACTGAAGAGATTTAACTAAAGAATACTTTAAGCGTAGCATTCGATAATATGATTCAGGTTGTCGTGATCCTAGTTTCTTAAATGCTTGGTTGTTACCGAGCAAAGGTACATCTTTTAGCCTCAAAGTAAAAACTTCTGCCTGAATCAGTTATCGTTTTCTTTTAACAAGCATTGTGAACATTGCCATTGACTTCACTGTACATTGATTGACCTTTCCTGCCATGTATAAAACTTGTTAGTACCGCCACTGCTTTCATTCTGCATTGTAGTACAGTCAAACGTTACTCACTGGCTGTAAGAAGAATAAAAATGTTCAGCTAGTTTTGTGACCAGTAATTAATTGTGCAAAGGATATTTAATTACGGCAGATCATGTTAACCAGTCGGAAGGGATGTATTTGTTTTCCGTAACTATAAACGCTATGGTGCTTCTCTGTTTGTCAAGACTAATCAGTGATTGGTCAGATAATCTCAAAATGACTGAAAAGACAAAAATTCTTCTTTCCCGTAATATACGTAAATGTACTGCAGTTCAACTTAGTTAATTTTTGTTTGTTATAGCTTAAGGACAAATAGAATTACATTAGAATTTCATAAAACGAAACGTAAGCAGCAGAGCGAGGGAAAAACAATGAAATCATTTACATCACAAAGTCCATTATGTGATCTATACAGTTGTGATCATAATAAATTCAAGAGTCAGTTTCATACGTATTTTATGCATCATAATAAATTCATTTTGATGAATATAGTTCAAATATCTTAGGACACTCAATGCATCACTGTGGTGTCACAAATATACCAAGCCTTTGCCATCTTTATGGCTTGAAATATTCTGGTTGGCACGTCGCTTCCTCTTTTCTCCAGTTATAGTTTTTTGTGAAGGCAGAAGTCAAAGGTCTCTAACTCCAAAATTCTTGGGACTTCTATATCTAGTTTAACGTTTCCCTAATTTCCACGGCGAATGTCTCATTACACGAATAGACTAACCCCTGGTAAATCGCGTCACATCCTTAGTGTTGGTTAAAACTATATATCAGTTATGGAAGATAGATTCTATTATGTGTATTCTCAAGCATCAGTGCTTAGCACTAAAAGATCCCTAAGCAAAGCTTATCTTTAGATAACTGTATCCTAAGTGACTTAATTCACTACCGTACTTATAATTTTAAATAACACTCTGGCAACTAAAATACTGATGACTGGGTATTTGAACTGTGTAGCTAACAAAAAGTGTTACATACTAGCCCAGCATTATCAAGAAGGATAACATTATTAGTTTTTTAAAGGAAAGGTTTACCACGTTCTCGCACAGCTCACAGTCCGAAAAATATGGGATACAGTGACCTTATTCTTCCATTGCATCAGCACAGAGAGATATTACATAGCAATACAAGTTCTGCTGGTTAATATGTACTTTCTTTCTTCCTGAAAATTCATTTTCTTCCTTTGATGACACTTTATAGTACTGCCATTTCGCTATATGGCACGTTTCTTTATCCCAATGAGTTGTCAATTTCCACTTACTTATCCTCCATCACACCACTATTTGTCAAACCGTGGAGCAATAAATAATGGTGCTATAGATTAATTGTTTTACAATTTAAAGTTTGAACTGAGGATGGTAGACTGCTAAGCTCAGTACATTATTTGTACGTTGTTCCCTGTTGAAATAGTAAAATATTTAGCCAGTGAATCATTTTTTCCAGTGAGGTAAGACCAATTTTTAAAGCCCGATCCGAAATTAATTGAAATGCGATGATGTAATCATGGATAACTACATTACATAAGTCTATTCTTGAGAAAAATCCCTACGGAAGTCCCTGCTTCGTATGGTCTTTATAAGTAGTTCTACAGGAGGAAGTGAATTCGTAGACACACACAATGAAGTGAATTAAAGCAGCACTTTGTCCTTCACATATCCACGAATCATTTGCTGACTGAAGAAATCAGTTCGTGTCTCAGAAGAATAAATGCTTTATCAACAATTCGGACAGGCCGTTCATCATAATCACAGGTGCAGTTCTGTCATGGAATTCAGCATTCATAAATAAACGTTTTTCAGAGCGATGTGGATTCTTTCTGAATGTTGCACATACTTAGATGTTCTAATGGGTGAATTTTGTAGGGTAATCATTTTGTTTGAGCACTTGTCGTTGGTTGTATCACCTGTGCAGATCTTTCTAATTCTTGAAAATAAGAGTCCTATACACTATCTAAAGGACCTGCTTTAACCTCCGGGTCAATGTCAGTGACAGACAAGAGGTTGAAGTTACCAAAGGTTATTGTACATAGTACTACCGACGATTTAGAGTTTTCACCCGTACAAACATTCATCATAAAAGATTAGGATACTGACACGGAATTTATAAAGGAGTTCAATAATTCCTGTCATTCGACTGAATTCAAATCGAAATCTATGGCCAATGCTGAATTTTATTTCTTGAATAATACACAGAAAATGTATGATGGCTATCTCCAAAAACTAATCCGTCTGTTAATTAATGGATTTTCATTGATGTA